ATTTTTATTTTTAGAAAGGATGGTAAACAAAGTCAGCCGCTGAAATATTATCACAGAAAAAAAGGCAGTAGAAGAGAAAACCTTTTTGTAGTTTGTTTTCGTTTTGCCTTCTTATTCTGGATACCATATAATCTGATAAAGAAAAACAGTAGTCATCTTCATCAAGGTGTAAAAATATGAGAGAATGTAGCCCAAAATGCTAGATTTTTGGCACAAGGTTTTTCAGTAGTAATAGTTTCTAGAACTGTATAAATCATACTTACAGGAGAAGATTTTTATTTTTAACATTTTCAAGTTGAAAAAATGGACACCTAAAAAGGCCTGGCCCATATAGCAATAAACTTAGAAGAAAACATTTTTGACAGAGACAGATTTGCTCAATTACTTTTTTTTTAAGTGGTTTATCTACATATACCGGTGTTTATAATTGCACTGAAAAGGTCTCTTTAACCTATTTTTGGTGATTTTATATTTGGTTGCTGATATATATTTCTATAAAAATTATCTGTAAATCTGTTCTGTATAAAAATAAGAGGATATAAGTGATTTATTTGATCCAGTCATACTGACATCATGTAAAGCCTACAACTTTATGGAAAACTAGGGACAAAAACAACATAAAACTCAAAGTGCTAATTTACACATGTGCATTAATAATTTATTTATTAAAATTCTCAAATTAATCAATATTCTAACTCTGAGCATCATAAAAACAGTTGCTTTACTTACATGTTTACAGTCATTCAATATACATATAAAAACTGGAAAAAAAAGGACAAAAAAGGGTTTGTAACTAGTATAAGTAGATGGTTCTGCCTATATTCCCACACCATATTGAGCTTGGCCAATATCAATGGTTTGTCTAAATGTTGCTGTTCATATGATCAATTGCAAATTGGTGTTAACACTGACAAATGACATAATATATGAATAAATAAAAATGCATCTTACCACTTTAGCAAAAATGAAAAAAAAATAAAAAATAAAGAGGAAATTAAATCCCATGTACAAAATTATTAAGGTTAAAATTTTACTTATTAAAAGATATAATAGTTTTGTTTTCATGATTTAAATTAAATACCATTAACTATATTTCAAAAAATGAGAAAATGTACTTCTACATCTAAAAAAAATCTCATGAAAAACCAATAATTTTTTAGATATACATACAAATTAATATTCTGTAATAAGGTAACAAGAACTCATAATATACATGTACTGTACCTTTGATACTAAACTGGAAGAATAGCCTGTCACAGGTTAAAAGTAATTAGTGTATATTTAATCTATGTTTAGGGACTGCTCTCACATGATTAATAAATAAATATATATATATAAACAAGAAGATTATATAAACAGTTTCTGAAACTATCTAAATATTAAAATTTTTCAAACTTACAAGCCTGTATTAATGCTGAGGGTGAGTATTTTCAATTTTAAAAACTAGTATATTAAACATAAACTTACTCATCACAAACTAACAAATTCTAAAACACACAAAATAATGTTATTTACCTGTATTTAAGCACATAATATTGTGTGTATGATCTTGTAAGGCCAAAACTGTACACCTACGATAACATACACAAATATACCAAGTGAGCTTGTGTTAGTACTACTTTACACATTCTGTTCTCTCAAATTATTTCATACTCAATGTAATGTGAAAATAAGGTTGGGGGATGCATGCCATGTAAACTTCCTAGACAAAGTTATGATGTATCTTCAACTGCTAATAATCTTTTTAACCAAAATTTAAGCTCTGTGATCCTCATTTTGTTATCTCTTCAGTTAACAAGCATGTATTTCAAGAAAACCGAAAATGAATAAAAATAAACTGACATGAGTAATCATAAGTATAAAGAATTAGCAGAAACTAAATGAATAATCTTAAAAACATCTTAAGTCTACATCATTACTCTAGTAAAAAAAAAAAAAAAAGAAGTAGAGAGAATGCTATCAAGATAAACTTACACTAATGTACAGAAGTTACTCTAACATTATATATTGTACCTATTTTCTTTCTTGTTGTTCCAACATCATTGACCAGTTATTTTTTATTTTGCTTAGTATCTCGTTACTGCCATCCTAAGATCTTATTAATTTTTTGAACACTCATGAAGTAACTTTGAATTACTTTAGATGCAATAAATAAAAATAAAAAATTCAAGCATTTTTTTACCTACATCCATTAATTTAATTTCAGACTAATTTTAGATTTGGCCCCATTACATATCTCATCCACCCCCCTCAAATTAAGAAAAGCATTAGGCAGGATTGTTTTAAACTGACATATTTTATAGGGTTGAGTTTCACACACCTAGAAATTAATACAAACGTAATTTGCTGTACATTTCAAAATTAATAATAAGATATACATGCAGTCATCAACAGCAATATCTTCACAAGGTCTTTACTTTCTCAAATAAGAAAAAATATTATATACAACACACAAACATGAAATTCTAGGTATAACCTCTAAAGAAAATGTGACTGATACGTTATTGACAGAAAAATGAAAAGTTATTAAGCTGAATAAAAGGTCATTTGTGTTTTAGTTCAGTATTCAAGGAAACAATTATGAATTTAAAAATCTTTCAACAATTACGTTACATAAATCATCATATGCTATTAGAACTAACTTTATACAAGCAAAGCAGATTCACTTTTTTTTTTTTTCATTTTAATCTAAAAGAAAACACAAATATGCTAAGAAAAATATTCTGAAGAAATATTTTCAATGTGTGGGAAGTTTCATAGGCTTTATTATTGTCAAAAATTATGAACATTTTTGATTTTATTGCATTAAATATGAACTTTAATATCATGTTATCAAACTTATTTACAATTTTAACCATCCACTAAATACTAAAGATTTTATCAATTTTGTGCAAAGTGTTAAAAAATTGCAGCCTAAAATTTTATTCAGATTGTGTATGTTTTGATATGAAATAATAAAAAAAACAATTAAAGGGCAAAATGAAACAAATATTTTATGAAACACATTTTTTATATTCCATTATTAAAATATTACTATATGGTTAAGAACACAAGTACACTGACTTTCTACTCTCTGAGCATAAATTATCATAATGCTTTCAACAAGAAAATTTGCATTTTAGATAACAACTGTAAAAATACAATGTTATGAAATACAATAAAATATTAGATGTAGCTGCATTTCTATACAATTTTACAGCTTTTGCAAAACAAAACTGAGAAGTCTTAACTGACAGCATGAAGATATTGAACACTTAAAAGCTGAAACTTTAGTCATTAATATTATCTCAAATACATTTTATAGAGCTCAGCATATTCTAGTCAGTTTTGACATCACAGACCTATTTACAATGTTCTGACCTCAGAAACCCTTCGTATCACCAGACAACGACTGAATGAAAACTCTCTTCCACATAGAACCGACGTGAAGATAGATGCCATCATGGAACTAACGACTATTTGCCTACAATCAACTTATTTCCAATATAACGAAGAATTCTACGAACAAACAGATGGTCTAGCCATGGGATCACCACTCTTTCCAATCTTAGCAGACATTTTCATGGAAGTCTTTGAAGAAAGAGCCCTCTCATCCACACATATAAGACCAAGTTTCTACAGACGTCATGTTGACGACACTTTCGTTATCTGGCCCCACGGTCATGAAAAACCTAACAGCCTTCTTACAACACCTTAATTACGTAGACAAGAATATTCACTTCACAATGGAAACAGAAGAACAAAATAGCTTATCATTTCTTGACATACTGATCAGCAGACAAGAGGGAAAAATCACCACAACTGTATACAGAAAACCCACCCACACAAACACTTCTAGTCCTATCATCCAAACTCGATAAAACGTGGTATAATCCAGTGCCTAAACAAGAGAGCAGAAAACATCTGTGATAACATATCCATCGAAACAGAAAGCCAAAACATCATACAGTGTTTTAAACAGAATGGTTACACCTCTTCCTTCATCAAGAACTCCCTGAAGAAGACGACAACAGAAAGCCAAAACATCATACAGTGTTTTAAACAGAATGGTTACACCTCTTCCTTCATCAAGAACTCCCTGAAGAAGACGACAACAGAAAAGAAACCACTACCACTACAACGATATACCTCCCATACCTGAAAAATGTCAGTGAAAAACTCAAACGAAAAGCTAAGAAATTCAACATAGACATCCGGTGGAAATTTTACAAAACACTAAGATCCATTCTGGTGAAGAACAAACAGAAACCTACCAACAAAAACATCATTTATGAAATTCCATGTTCCTGCAACAAAACATACATTGGAGAAACAGGAAGAAGACATGCGACAAGAATAAAGGAACATAAAGACAGCACAAGACTCATGAAAACAAAAAAATTCAGCCATTGCAGAATACACCATGTCAACTGGACACAACATAAACTGAGAAAAAGCTAGAATCATCAACACAGACAAAGTTTGGAATACAAGAAAAATGAAAGAATTGTTTTACATTAACACCTTCACTAAACAGAGATTCAGGATTAGAGGTGAGTAAACTGTGGCTACCATTGGTTCAGACTACAGGAAGTCTCTCCTCCAATCAGAAACGTGTTTTAACCAACCAATCATAACATGCTCTCCACAATCCACTAGAACACTATAAAGACCAAACTACACCACACACACACTGACCTGAAGAAGAAAGGCGGAAGACTTTCGAAACATCGTCCTCTACATTTGTAGGTTTCTACAACAGGCAGTTGCTGTCCATTTGAAACTTACATTCATATATTTTATAAAATTTCTTTAATTCAGCAAAGACAAAACATGTCAATTTCCTGAAAGGTCAAGTTAAGAGAAAACATTATTCACACAGCACAAATACTTAACTTTCACTTTAAAAAGCTATGAGCCTTGCTATAAATCCCAAAAGAAAATTACAATAATTGTATATATATAGTTGTTTTATTGATTCATTATTTGTTAATTTGAAATTTAACATTGACGGAAACCAATTTACACAACATATTTTATTTGGGAACGTATATTTACAAGTGACTCAGGTTTACAGTTTCATAATTTTACAGACATAGCTCCACCATACGGAATGGCTAACAAGTAAAACCAAGTTCAAATAATATGTTACCTGAAAAATAATACCTTAAAGAAAGTTTCAGAGTTAAGATATACTTCAATAACATCATTTTGTGTTTTTGTGGACATGCTACCTATATACAATGATTTCGGCATAAAAATATGCAAGGCTGTTCTAGTCTTTATCAACCTCACAAAGACCATGAGTGTGATTTTATGAATAAAATGTACATGTTCCTCTCACAGCAGACCACTGTTTACATGTATATTTCAATCCCATATATACTGGAATTGTTCTTCAAGGCAACTTCACCAATTTAAAGAAATACAATGTTCAGTAGTGGCCTCTAGTATCAAAAGATTGAGCTACTCGCTCCAAGGAACTTGATTTGTGGCACTCAGGTGACTGTTAAAAATGAGTTCTCTTGGTAGGGATTATATCTGAGCATTTTATCTTATAAAAGTCACACTGGAGAATGTCTTATTGTAAACTTGCCAACTTGTAGGTCACTAATATAAAGTTTTAATCGATTTCCATCCCTCCGTCGAAGAAGAATCTCACTCGTATTTACAGCAATAATGTTTGCTCTGAAAAGGAGATTTGAATCAGTAGAGTTTTTATGATAAACATATCAACATTCTCAATGAAAATGACTTATTTTTTAAAATCTTTTTTTTTGGGAATATGAGCGAAAAAAAATAATAAAACAACTGTAAAGTACATGCTTGTAAATGTAATATTTAACACCAAATATAATAAGTAAAAGCTGGGAGAGTAAACAAATGCTAGTACACATACAACTTCTAAACATTAAAAACACTGCACAGCATACACGCCATCACACATAGCAATGTTTTCTTAGATCTACAATTAACACATTAAAAAATTAAGATTTACATTACATAGAGCTGAACATGTAAATTTTGAAAGGCTTCTTGTACAAACTTGAACACATTATTTTTGATATTCAAGTTTCATATTTATTTCACAGATCAAAGCATTCCAACTTTAAAGAGCATCATTTCAAGTAATAATAGTTATTTTTAAGTGATTAATTATTTATTTGCTGATATTACCATATGCGTAGGCACAGAGTATTCAGAATGTCACAAAGGTCATTAAGTTTCAATAAATAAAATTTCTTTTGTCCACTTATCTAAGAGAAAGCAAATTTTCTGTACACAAAAATATTCAACAATAAAGAAAAGTTAATTTGATCAATATATGTAACAAAGCTGGTCCATAATTACAAAATTATTTAATGCAATTACATTTTTTAATTGTGTTTCAGTTTCTTCTAGTGAGTCAGTTTTCTGCTCATTAGGTGTTTAGTAACTTCTTTGTGCACTTTAAAAATGTTATATGTTAAATAACACACTTATCAGTTACAAATGAATTAAACTGTTAGTAAATGAATAACAAAAGATATCAACCAAAAACATAACAGTGATGAACTTTAGCATACCAAAAAAATACTTGTAATACCTCATAACAGTACTAGCAATCAGTTATATATATGTCATTAGCTCATATTATAATTATTAGTGAACTGAACAATTACCTTTTAAATGTAAAAACTTAGTAAATTACAAGAAATATCAATTCTAACTAATTAACGCGGTACCTGTAAATAAAACAAATAAAAAAGTCAGCATTTATCTTTAGCTATTTGTCAATAAAGCAAAAAGTCTAAAAATGTAAGTACAGTAGATTACCAACATTCTTTTCTGGGTTGATTTTTAGTTATGATCTATGTAGGTAGCTTGCTTTGATCAGAAGTTAGTATTATGCACTGAATGTTAGTAATAAATTAATAGGGAGATAGTAACCATTCATTTACAGTAATGTTGTCACTTAATCAAAATAAAGATGTTAATCAGAAGCTTATACACGTACAAATGTTAGTGAATGAAAAAAAAAGAGGTTTCAAAACAGAACCGAAAAACAAACCAGTAAATATTCAATACACAACAAACAGTTTAGCTGTTGTTTACACTTACAATAAAGGAGAATCTGTTTTATTTTCATATATTACTCTATCTCCTTTTCTGAATAACTCATCCTGATACTGTAATTTCCCATCTGCAAAACGGGCATGAAACTGCTGCTCCACGGGAGCAAATTCATCTGGAAATCACATGGAAAAATGGTGTATTTCTATTATTACAGTGTTCAATAACTAAAGTTACACTGTTAATTAGAATTGCTGTTCCAAATTCATCTGAAAATCACACGGAATAATGGTATATTTCTCTTATCTCACTATTCAATAATCAATGCAACACTGTTAATTAGAACTTTTCTTCCAAATTCATTTGGAAAAACACATGGGAAAATGTTGTATGTCTATTATCACACTGTTCAGTAACCAACGTAACACTGTTAATTAAAAATGCTCTTCAAAATTCATCTGAAAATCATAAGGGAAAATGATGTATTTGTTTTACCAAACTGTGTTCAATAAACATTGTGACAATGATAATTCAAACTATTTTTTTGTATTATTTCAATCCACAAACTATCACCAACAGATATGTATCATAACTCATTTCTAACACACAAATAAAGCAGGTATCATGTTACATATCAGTTAGAATAATAAAAATATTTGTAACAATTTGAGTGTTAGACTGAAGCCAGTCAATTAATAATAATATTTCTTTTAATTTTTTCAAATGTTCTGTTAATGTAAGTTCTAGATGATTACAATTAAAGAAAGGTAAGTCAACAAAGGTTTACTAATAGCTTCTGACACCAAACGAGTAGATTTATCAATTCAAATGAGTTTGAAGTTTTCTTATATACGTATTACAATTTGAAGGTTCAAGTGTGTATGCACAATCTTTTCATGTTCCAGGCTTGTGACTGAGTGAATTTAGTAAACCATGGAATAAAGGAATATTGATTATGAATCCAAGCTGCCAAAATCACTCAAAAGACCAAAAACTGACACTGGAATATGTAACATATGCAGTCACCAAGTGCCAACAAGCAACTTGACAAAGCCCAGAAATATTATGTCATAGCATATGCTCTTGGAGGCTGCAAAAATATAAGATTTTGTTTCAATTCTTCAATATGGATTGATTACTGAGGAGATTCCCGATATATGGTATGAGCTGATATGGCTTCATGCACAAGAGCTTCTCAGAAAAACTGCAAGTTGTAAAAGTTATAATTTTCCTAAATGAAAATATATTTCTGATAGGTACTTCCCTCCGCTCACAATATTAGCTTTTCTCATTTTGTGCTGCATTCTATATGCAAACGTTTTCAGAAACACATGCCACAAGCCTTCATCCTCCCTCTGTTGGAATTTACAGTTTCATCACGTCTCTCATACATATCATCATGCTTCACCTCTCCACCAATAGGAGAGCACTACTATCACGTGATGCAAGTTACTCCCTCTCGCACA